GGGGGCCAAGTGCGGGGCGGCGCGGGGCCGGCCTGGATGTGTTGTGGAATAGAAGCGGACGCTGCCCCCACCGTAGACCGCTCATTCATTCACTCATCCACCCATCCGTCCACCGTGTTTCCTTCCTTCTCTCCGCCCCTGACAGATCTGACGACAGATGCCTGCGGACTAGGTCCGCAAGTAGGACCAGGGTTCCCAGCACCAAGCGGAGACTCTCTCTCAGTTTCCTCACCCTTAAAGCAGAGCTTATGATAAAACCTGTCTTGAGGTAATAGTGTGTACGGAGTCCAGCATGCTTACAGTTAGAAAGTCAATGTCCGGAAAGTCCCCTGCTGGTATTTGTGTCATCACCATTCAGAGAGCAACTTCACGTGGGAGACAGAAAGAGGCTTTTCATATACCACTGCGCTGCAGGAAGGGAGGCTTAGCACAGTCTAAGTAATCCAGGCAGTTCCATTCTCCCAGGAAGCTAGCTGGGCTTAAAGGATGTTTGGGGAAGTGAGGCAGGAGAAGGGTGTATATCCTTAGTTGAAGGCGTTGTCTGTGAGGATGCTCCCCTTTCTCTAGCAGAGATGGGCAGTAAGGCCAGGGAGGCTCTGCTAAGTCTTTGGGACGTTACAGAGTTTAGCACCTTTAACTTTTTGTTTTGTTTTCCAAGACAGGGTTTCTCTGTAGCTTGGAGCCTATTCTGGAACTAGCTTTGTAGTAGACCAGGCTGGTCTTGAACTCACAGAGATCCATCTGCCTCTGCCTCCCGAGTGCTGGGATTAAAGGCGTGTGCCACCATCACCTGGCCAAGCACTTTTAACTTTTAGGTTAAGGGGAAAGCACTTAAGAATCAGCTCTGTGGACAAGAAAGATCACTGGGCAAGTCGAAGAGGAATAAAGGAGTGAGCCTGAAGTCAATTAAGAGATCGCCAGGCTAATTTAAGCGAGGCATAAGGGTGGCCTTGAGTAAGTGTAGGTGCAGACAATGAATAGGGAGAGATAATTTTGGAGGTAGAATTGATACAACTTGGGGATAACTCTAGTGAGAAGGCACAAGATTATCTCATTTCTTCTTAAAAGTGTGTGTGCGCGTGCATGCATGTGTTGGTCAGAGGCCAACCTGTCAAAAGTGAATTTGGTTCGCATCTTCCAGCTTGTTGTTGAGTCGGAGTCTCTCTTGTTTCTACTGTATAGTGTATTGCAGGCTAGCTACCCCAAGCATCCAGATTTCCCATCTGCCTGTCGTCTTTCTCCAGGAGAGCTGAGATTAAAGATGGCCCCCACTGCCTTTTGGGTCCCGGGGAATCAAACTCAGGCTGTCAGGCTTGCACAGCAAAGCTAGCACTTTTGCCTGCTAAGCCAAGTCCCTGGCACTGTCCCCTGTCCTTGACTGGTGGATGTTGGCATTGCTCAGTGCGGTAGGAAGCAGGACAATAGCTCATTTAACAAGAGGAAAGATTTAGTTTTAAATGAGTTGAAAATACATGCCTGAGAAGCATTCAAGAAAGCCTGGGTTGGTGGTGCATGCCTAGGATCCCAGCACTAAGGAGGCCAATCAGAATTTTGGATATTTCAACTCCCTATATAGCCTGAACTCTACTGCAAGTTCCAGGCCAGCCTGAGCTATAGAATGAGACCCTGTCTAAAAACAACAACAAAAAAAAAACAAAATCAAAACCCTGTCTAAAACACTGAGGTCAAGCTTTGTGGCGGTGATCTTACTGCTGTCATCCACCAGAGGTCACCTAGGTGAGGGTATGTCTGGGCTGAGAATCAGTATTGTGGGCATCTCAGGAAAGTGTCTGCTACACTAAACTGGGCAGGTCGTCAGCACTGACCGGACCTATCTCAGGAAGGAGTTCCCGAGTATGGAACCTGGGGGTCCTGATCATTCATCTTGTTTCCCAGGCCCAGCACACAGTCTTTTCTACAGTAGGTCAATAATAATTCTACTTGGGTCTCTTTGATTCAGGTGATGAGCTGGAGGAGGGGAGCCGAGCTGGAGTTCCTACAGGCGCACTGTCTGAAAAGCGAGCCCCCGGCTTTTCGGAGATCTGAGGTATGTCTATAATACTGGAGGACACACGCTGTCTGCAGGAGACAGCTTTTTGTTGCTGTTATTTGTTTGTTTCCTTGGCTGTCTTGGAACTCACTTTGTAGGCCAGGCTGACCTCAAACTCATAGAGATCCTCCTGTCTCCTCCTCCCGGAGATTAGGATTAAAGGTGTGTGCCGCTATGCTGATGGACGTGGGCATTGCTCAGTGCAGTGGGAAGCAGGACAGGGAAGGCTTCTTTTCAGTCATTGTCCACACTCAGCATGGCTCAGATCACCGTCTCAGGACTGAAGTCAGGAGGGGTGGTGCACACCTTTTGTTCCTTGGGGACTCAGAGGCAGGTGGACCTTTTGAGTTTGAAGCCAGCGAGGGCTACATAACAAGACTCTCAAAAAATTTAGTGGGAAAAAAATCCTTGTTACAGTTTTATTGTGAAATTGTAGATAAAACTTTGTTTTCTGTGGTATTTGCTTTGTCACTCAGACTGACGTTGAACTCAGAGTGACCCTTCTAATTCAAGGAGTTAGTCATGAGTTGTGTCTGATCCAGTTACTTATTTTTGACAGCAAAACTAAAGTGGGTATGCTTGCTGTTTTTTTGGTTTTTTTTTTTTTTTTTTTTTTTTTAGTAGATCTGGCTGGCTTCACACTCTGTAGGTGCCATCTGGGCGCTGGGTTTAAAGGTGTGTGTCACCACACCCAGATTTTATTTTACTTTGATTAGGTAAAATCTAAAGTTGTCCTACAGGGCTCAATGGTAGAGTGCTAGCCTAGTCTGTTTAAGGCCCTGGGTTCAAATCTCTAGCATCGCAAGTTCTAGCATTGGCTAAAGTAAGCAAGAAGCTTTTTTCCTTTGCTCTTTAAGTCTAGAAGTACTGGTTCTACAGCCTGTTGAGCAGCCAGTGTCCCATGAGTTGCCTATGCAGCAGGATTTCTTTGACCATGCGGCTTCTGCTTCAGCACTGGTATCCATCTAATGGCCCATGCTGTCTCCTTCGTGTCCTGCTGTCACACATGAACTTCATTTCTCAGGAAGAGAGAGCAGGGACCTCATGCTCTCCTGTAAGGCTCTGATGTTCAGAACGGTGCATTTCTGTAGCATGGGGCCTGAGCCATCCTGAGTCTGGAGCAAAGAACAAGTCATACTAATCCACCACTGGAGGAGACAGAACCTACCTGCTCTGGCTCCAGAGTGACAGGGTTGGGGGTGTGGGGCCTGGCCCCGCCCACGGGAGAGCCCTCTAAAATAGTGAGAGTGGGCTGGGTGTGCTCCCAGGATACTGCACGTGGTAGCTGGTGGTTCTTGAACACGTGAATGTGCTCTGCGCCCAGGTCTAGCAGATGATTGCTATTGCTTGGCAGGACTGGATTCTAAAAGCAAAGCCCTGCTGACCACATACAGCTGTAGTGGCAGTGGACTGGACTGCCAGCTTCCGAACAGCAGCATGGAAACCATTTGTTAATTATGAAAGCTTGCTTTAATTTACTTAGGCTTGTTCCCTACTAGTTCTTTTTGTTTGTTTGTTTGTTATTCCAGACAGGGTTTCTCTGTGTGACAGTTCTGGCTGTCCTGGGACTTGCTTTGTAGACCAGACTGGCCTTAAACTCACTGAGATCCATCTGCCTCTGCCTCTGCCTCCTGAGTTCTGGGATTAAAGGCATAAGCCACTACCGCCCAACCACCAAATAATTCTTAAAGCTTAAATGAACCCATTTATATTAATCTGTGTTTTGCCAGGTTGCTCGTTACCTCTCTTCAGTACCATGAGTCTGACTGGCACCTCGGATTCTTTCCCAGAGTTTCTATCTCTCCCTGGAAGGCCTGCCTATCCTCTCTTGCCTAGCTATTGGCTGTTCAACTCTTTATTAGACCAATCAGAAGGTGCCTTAGGAAGATGAGGAAATACAGAGACACATCTTCATACACTGTACAGTATAGAGGCTGTCCTGGAGTCTGGCCACCAATGCCTGATGTCAGAGGTCTGGGCTGAGGTGATGCAAACTTAGAGTGAAGTAACGGTAAATACTGCTTCAGATGGGAAGGAACAGTGAGGACTCTCTGCCACCCTACCTCATGGCTCTCTCTAGAGAGCCAGCTGTGTCATAATCAAGACTCAGTTTCCCCATCTGTGAAATAGGGCCAACATCTGGGAGGTGGTGGTACATGCCTTGAGAGTCACTCTTCTTCCTGCTTTTCTGAAACAGCTGTTTAAATTTTTTGCCCACTTTTCTATTTGGTTGTCTTTTTTTAAAAAGTTTTTTTTTTCAGCTACTACTATACTTTATTGTGTTCAACAATAAATAATAAGCTGCCATAATAAAAAATAAGGCC